ATCCGGACGTTGTGAGCTGTGATTTGAACCGTACGCACAAGAATCGCTTCTGGCCACTCCCAGGTGAATGGCAGTCAAAAGTTTTCCACTTCTGCGCACGGAACCATCCTTATAACAATTACTAAGTAGAATTTTCCTTTCTGTGTTGCCGGAAAAGGGGACCGGAAGTATTTTTGGGTAGAACTTCTTTCTGCGTAGGCGGCCTTCGGCCGCGCTTAGGGATTATAACCCTTACTAAGTAGAACTCTCCTTTCCGTGTTGCCGGAAATGAAGGGCGGTAGTATTTTTGCGCAGAACTTCTTTCTGCGTAGGCGACCTTCGGCCGCTCTTACGGACTATATCCATTACTGAGTAGAATTCCCATTTCTGTGTTGCCGGAAAAGGGGACCGGAAGTATTTTTGCGCAGAACTTCTTTCTGCGTAGGCGGCGTTCGGCCGCGCTTAGGGATTATAACCATGGTTGCCACCCGCCAACATTTTTTTCTACCAAAATCTTTTAAGAAAAGTTACCAAATCCTCACTACCAAAATCTTCACTTCTTCTGTGAGAAAGAAATATACTGAATAACACTGCTATATTTCATAAAAAATATGTATATACTTACAGCCCGGTTCTGTGCACTTAATAAATTAAATATCTTTATAATTTGTCAATTTTTGGTTATTTATCAAGAACTCCCAGTTCTAGCACAGAAGTTTAAATCTATTTTCTTGATAAATTATCAAGATTGAAAATGCTATTGACAATTATAATATTTTTTTTTATTAGAAAATATTTTTCTATCAATAAACTACTGCATGTGCCGTTATTCTCATTTTCGTTGTTGGTGTTTCCGACAGGGTAGGAGTATGATGTAATGTGGAACGATTTTCCATCATCTCTTGTCAAATTTGGTTTGGAGACAAACCGGTTTTGGTGTTGTGCCATTTTCAGTTTAATTTTTTGTTCGGAATGTGCCGATACTTGGACCTGCGACTCACCGAATAATAGCACCGGCACACAAAAAAAAGTGGCGGGTGCTTTTAACCGTTCGTTTGATTCGTACAAAATTTCCAGTAAATTACGAAAATTGCTAATTTTTTGCTAGTTTTTCGGTTTTTCATAATTTACTGTACGTCGAAATATATGTCGGTAGGTGTCGAAATACATGTCGGCAGATGGATCTGGTAAAAAGCACGCAACATTTTTTTTGCCGGAATAATAAAGACGATTTATGGACCTTACCAAAAATTGCCAGATGGCCAGTATTAAAATGTGAGAGGGTAGAATTCAAAATTTATCGCAAAAATTCGAAAGTTGTTTTAAAAGTGCAGCCCTTGGTGCTGCCACTGTGATTCAAATATTTCCAGTATTCGCATATGAGATGACTCTAATTTAATCGGATTTTATTATTACGAACATTCAAAACATAATTCATTTATTTCTAGTAATACAGATAGATTTTTAGTTGCAAAAGTTACCAAAATGAAATAAAAGTTACCAAGATACCAAACCGTTTAAATGTTACCAATTTTGGTAGAAAGTTACCAATTGTGGCAACCATGATTATAACCCTAACTAAGTATAACTCTCCTTTCTGTGTTGCCGGAAAAGAAGGGCGGAAGTATTTTTGCGCAGAACTTCTCTCTGCGTAGGCGGCCTTTGGCCGCGATTAGGGATTAAACCCCTTACTAAGTAGAAGTAAATAATTCATATTAGAAAAGAAACGAAATTATCCATATACACACTTTCGTTAGAAAACCGAAATAATGCATACAACAAAAACCGAGATTTTTAAAAGCGAAATAATGCATATGGAAAACAAGTAAGAACGTCTAAGTTCGGGCGGAGCCGAACATTAGATACCCGCCGCAAGTATTAAATATATATATTTTCACCTTCCGAAAGCTACCGATACATGGTAAGCCGGGGGTGTATCAATTTTGAATAAATTAGCGTCCTTAAATTTAGAAATATTGAAGTTTCAAGCATTTCTGAAATTTACCGTTATATGAAAAGCGGCCGTAATTTTATTCGATTTCAAAAATTTTAAACGTTTTGGTTTTATGTGGCAAGCACAATAACCATACCGAGTTTGGTACAAATTGGTAGACCGGTTACCGAGATACATATATGTGATAATATGTTGGCGGTACCACGCCCATTTTCCAAAATTTTATCATAAACGTATTTCTTGGTAAAGAGTTGTTGCAAGCATCAATTTTGAATAAATTAGCTTTAATATTTACTGATTTACCGAAGATTTTGTATTTCTCTAAATTACCGTTATATGGGATGTGAGCGTGGTTATTGTCCGATTTTAAAAATTTTCGGCCATTTGATATGGTGTACCAAGGCCAACAACTGTGCCAAGTTTGGAAGAAATTGATGCAGCGGTTACCAAGATACAGTATATTTTGCTTAGCTGCACATCCTTCTTTGCACGAAAAACTTGTGCACGTAACCGAAAAAGGCACTTAAGCGAATTTTCTTTACTACTTCAATGAGGATGGTATCCGAATCCCTATGAAACCAAATATTGGAGGAGCACTTACCATGTAGAAATTACTGCAAGCGAAATTTTTACCGAATGTTATCTAATTATCTATATAACTACATAAATTGGTAGCCATTTTTGTTGTTTTGCGAGATGAGCAAAATAAATAAAAGGTTGTAAAATTAGGTAATTGTAGGGCCAGTGCAGGTAAACGTAATACTTTCATTGATAATTGATACCAGTCGCACAATTTTTAAGGCAGGTATCGCCAATGTGCAGGTATGTTGAATGCATCTATCGGAGGAGTTTCCTTATAAATGTTAAAAGTAATGCTTTTGATGCGCATTTTGGGGTAGGTATCTTAAATGTGCACTTAAGCATATAGGCAGCAAAGCAAAATATACTGTATAAACATGTAACCATAAGTGGGCGTGGCTACGCCCATTTTCCAAAAACGTATAATATTCTTATTTTTCGTCTAAAATTTATTGCGAATATCAATTTTGAGTGAATAATCTTCAGTAGTTAATAAAATATCGTAGTTTTCGTATTTCTGAAAATTACCGTTATACCGTGGGCGTGGTTACAGTCCGATTGCGCCCATTTTCAATGCCAACCTACCTTGGATAACTGGAAACCTACATACCAAATTTCTTTGAGATATCTAAATTTTTGCTAGAGTTATCGTGTACACGGGCGGACGGACAGACGGACAGACGGACGGACAGACAGACATGGCTTAATCGACTTCTCTATTCATTCTGAGCATTTATGTATACATTTGTCTATATCTATCTCGATTCGTTTTGGCTGTTACAAACAACCGTTATGTGAACAAAGTTAATATACCCTTGTGCACAACAGTGATCGGACTTTAAAAAAATTCTGTGTGGTAGAATCTGGGGAAAAATGTGGTAGATTTAAAAAAAAATGTGGTAGATCTCTGTATTTGAATCAAACTTTGTAGAAAAATTAAAAAAATTCTGCAAGATTTCACCTAAAAGGCAAACTTTTTAATCAGAATCTAAAAACATTTAATTTTAGTATAATAAAGTGTAATATTGAAGTTGCTAAAAATTGCGTTGAGTGTTGGCAATTTTTTTCTTCACAGAGTAAAGCAGTTCTTTCCATATTAAGATATTTTTGAACACATTTTAAGAGATTTCTGCAATCTTGCGGAGTACTGCCAGCTTTTCTTTTTACCACATCACGAAGTAGCGAACAAATATGGCACGTTCCAGAAACAGCTAATTGGGATTTGCTGATTTTGACAATTCTCAAGAAAAAGTAAACAACGCCTCAGAAACCTTATATGCACTTAAATTTACTAATACTTTCACACAAATCCCCGGTTTTTAACATTTTCGCTATTAATTCTTTTTATAAATCATATATTTTGAAATTTAACACAATAACACCACGGCTCCTGTCGAAAAATTGATTACTGAGAGAATCTACTATTTTACAGTTTATTTCATCCTCCCATTCGGCTTTGTTTACTTTTACTTAAGAAATTTCATCGTCGCCGGGAATGCAGAATTTTGAATTATATCATTCTTGTTACCATATCGTGTAAAATTAAGAAAATATATCAAGCAAAAATAAAACTACTCAAAAATGCGAATATGTGGTAGATTTCAGACCTTGAGTGGTAGATGTGGTAGATGCTCAAAAAAGTGGCAGATCTACCACAATGTGGTAGAAGTCCGATCACTGGTGCACAAGTGTGCTCGGGTATAAAAAATCGAAGTAATGCATACATGCACAGTTTCGGTTGAAACCGAAATAATGCATATGGCAGAAACCGAAATAAAGCATACATGCACAGTTTCGGTTGAAACCGAAATAATGTCTAAATGCACAGTTTCCATATGCGCAATTTTGGTGCCCCTGGACACACAGCTGATTTCGCAAACGCAAATGTTATTGACAAAGAAAAAAGAGAGTCAACCCGATATACATTGGAGAGCCTAAGAATAATGCAAAGAAGAGAAAATACTATGAACAGAAAGGAAGATATAGACAACATGGCGGCCGCATACATTTCATGTTTATGATTATAAACTAACTTTTAGTATTGACAAAGCTACCACAAAAGTTGGTATAGATTATTAGTAAGTATTTTGCTTCCAATAATTCGTGTGTATTAATGTTAAAACATTGTGAGTTAAATTGTTTGTCCTCAAACTCAATCTGTGGTTTTTCTAGTCATTTTTAATTCCATATATATATATGTTTTTATGTTTCCATTTATTATTTTTATTATAATGTGTTTTTGTATTTTATGGTTCATGACAGATCTAATTAAACGGAATTGCCTTTGAAGAAGCTAAAAATGTTATAGCGAAACGTTGTTCCAGAAAGTGAAATAACGTAGTTTTATTTGCACAAAACATTTCGATCAGACCAGCCTGGTAACATACAATTGAATAAATTACGAACTGATCGGATAATAAAATATATAGAATAATTAAAATACTTTTTTGCCAAAGGTCCAATTTCGAACTTCGGAGGCTCATACATATCTCGATTTCGGAGGTTAACTTAGAAAAACGGAGAAATGACTTTTTTAATTATAACTCAATCCCTTAAAAAAAGTTCGTTTGGTCGAATACCTAGCCATGTGCTGTACAGTGTAATTATTCAAGTCGATTCGGCAGTTTTTTTGTTCAAAGCATTGACATACTAACATACATTTTTTATATGTGACAGGGAAAATTAAAAGGACTCACGCACAGTGCCGCCTAAAGCGCTGGTTATACTTGCATTGTGCTGCAGCGCATAACATGTGTATTGTCACATATCGAATCTGTTTAATGAGTTTTGCACACAGACGATTATCCGACGCAGCGCATGACAGGGCATGACAGCGAAGTCTGCTGAATTTTGATTTTTGCCTATGTGACATTTGCAAAGAGAGCTGACGCTCTCATTTGTGCACTGCCATATGTCATTTACACCGAGATTTGACATTCGACATTTGGAAAGCGGCAAACAAAGCGGGCGAATGTAAGTATGAAATTATTTATGAGAAATATTAAATTTTAATTGTTGTATTGTTTTTATATTATTTCAGAATGATTGATGACGAAAGGCTGGTCGATTTGGTGCGGGCGAATGATGCCATATACAATAAAAGAAGCCTGTCATATAGATTTCCGGAAAAAAAGAAGGCGGCGTGGGCAGGTGTGGCACAAGAGCTGGGTGCAACAGGTTTGTAAAATTTTAATTATATGCATTTTCAATCCATTTATTAGTATGATATACCTACAGAAGATCAGTGTACCAGACGTTGGCAGTCCTTGCGGGAAAGGTATTCCCGAGAACTAAAAAGATTAGATGCACCATCGGGGAGTGCGGCCGCACTGACGGAAACATGGCCATTGTTTGAAAGCATGGGCTTCCTTAAAGAATTTGTAAAGCCCAGGGCGTAGGTGTTTAATTTCTTTACATTAGTGGTATTCACCGAATTGAGCAAGTGGCCTGGCACTCTGGCAGCCCACTTGCTCACTTTGGTGAATAGCACTATTAAGTTTTATTCACTGTGTTTTATTTAATAACATTAAAACAATTTACATTTTAAGAACACGATGTACAACGAATATTTTATCCGAATTTCCTACATCTCCACCTTCGCCAACACTTTCTTCGTCATTTTCGTTGACAGAGACGTTAATGTTTACCGGTTCACCTGATGCAGTGGAGGCGACGTTCTCAACTGAGGAGTTGGCACGTGAGCAACCAACGCCGACAACTTCTCAAAAGAAGCGAAAACGGCAGGAAAGCGATGCAGATGGGGAATTCCGTGAAGCATGTCAATTGTATAAAGACATGTGTAAGGAGCGGGTAGCACAAAAAGGAAGCCAGACCATACGTGCTTTCGGGCAAATGATTGGGTCCACAGTCAGTGAGATGAGTGAAGCGAAACAGGTGAAGGCGATACAAGTCGTCACAAATACCATCGTGACCATCAAATTGGAGCCTGAAGAATAGGAAGGTAGGCTGAACCCATATACTGCAGTGTTTTTAAATTAAAGGTTGTTTCTTTGCAGGTCGCAACTCTTAAGTCATAGCTTTTAGACGCTAATATATATTGAGTTAAACTCGGCACTGAATTTGTTGATTAAAAATCGAAGTGT